TGAACTTGTCTGCAGTATCCACTGATCACAAAGACATTTTGTTTGGAATGAACCCATATGTGTATGAAATGGAACCCTAACAGTGTTATTTTTCAACTTATCTTCATATAAATTCAAATGTTACTTTTGTCATTGTTGTTGCTACTTGCTATGGAATCTATTTGTTCTCATTGAAACCCTATGAGTTTAAAGTACAACTGTGATCCATAGGGTTTCCAAGGCTGTGATCTTTTCAAAATAGATCACTGAGGTGTCTCTGAACTTTTAGCTAAAAGTTAAGCACTTTAATTGTTTGAGTCAGGCAGGGACTTGTTTTGGGTGGTTTTATGAGACAGATGAAAGCTAAGGGATTTTTTTAGAGTCCAGGAAATTAGGAAGTACTGAAAAGGAAAAGGATTCTTCATAAAAGCATTAAATATTAGACTATGGTTCACTTATTGATTCCAATTGTACATTCATACAATTTCAAGGTAATATACAGTAATCTACAATTTGAAAAACAATTTCAAAGTAATCTACAGTAGATGCTTTGCTGGAATAACAACAGCAAAAAAAGAGTAAATCTGTAAATTACTGCTAGATAAATGTATTAATTGGGTATTCTGGTATTGAACATTTAAAGAGTATTTTAAATGACATAGGTAAATTATACCATGAACTCAAACAAAAGTTTTAAAGTAATTAGGAGAATCAATTTATATATTTTGATACAGGTGAACTTTGCCTTGTTATGCTGTGCTTCGTTGTACTTTGCAGATATTGTATTTTTTTTTTTTTTTTAATGAACGCAAGGTTCGTAGTAACCTTGAATCAAGTAAGTCCATTGGCATCATTTTCCAACAGCAGGTGCTTATTTTATGCCTCCATGCCACATTTTGGTAGTTCTCATAATATTTCAAATGTTTTCATAATGCTATCACACACGTAATATACTATAATATAGTATGCTTATAATATCTATATATACTGTAAAGAAATTGTGTGACTCATTTTACTGTAATACTCATTTTATTTCAATGGTCTGGAATTGAACCCAGTATATCTCCAAAATGTAGCTATATTTTTATATTTTAAACAAGAAAAGAAATTTGATAGTGCTTGGTGATGCTGGGGTACCAATGCTACTAATGTGTACTGCTCCTACTCCTTCCTACCCTTCAACTATAAATCTCATTAAGTTTCCTAAGTTTGCCCACCACTTTTTCTCTTCAGTCCTGGGGCCGTATTAATTTTCTGTGGTTGCAGACTTTATGTTGTTTCTCCATTCCATGCCAGTTTCTCGTTAATATTGACCACGCTTTTTACTATCATTAACTTCATTTCAATTAATCCTTTTAGTGTATCATCTTTTACATTTCTAAAATTTTGATGAATATATTATGAAAAAAAAAAAAAACATATACAATCTTATAGATCTCAAGCATCTAGCTAATTAGAAGGGCCCAAAAAAGCATAGGAAATTTCTATGTCTCAATTATTTAAGTTAAATATTAGTGATATTGATAATGTTGGCTCTCTGGTAGCATAGTGGTTACAAGTCAGACTGCCAACCTCTAGGTCAGCAGTTCAAAACTACCAGTGGTTCTGTCGAAGAAAAAGGAGGATTTCTGTCCCTATAAAGATTTACAGCCTGAGAAAACCTATGCAGGATCTCTATGAGTGGGAATTGACTCCACAGCACACCACCACCACCCACCCATTGATAATGTTAAAACATAATCAAGGAAAATGAAGGGTCACATCCCCATCTTCTGTATGACTTAGTGAATACAGCTTGCTTTTGGTTTTGATTATTATTATTATTATTATTCACACCATGGATTGTATCTATTTTGTTCATGTTTTTGTGAGTCACTTAGCCCATTCATGCAATACCTACACTCCAAACAGCTAGATGCAGTTGTTATAAAAATCCATTGAATACACTTATTTTATATGATCTTTCATATGGAATGAATGAAGAAGAGCATGAATTTCTGTGGTACTAAAGAAGGGGTTTTCTTCTACTATAAAGGTTTAAAGCCTCAGAAACTCTATACAGGGTTGCTATGATTCAGAAGCTACTCTAAGGTACACAATCCAATCACCAAAGCATGGTATGTATCAGTTTGTAGTAAAATTTTATTTTTAGTTTATACTTTCATTCATTTGGCATGATTCAATTAGTAATGGCATAAATTAATAGAATAGAATAAGAAAATTGTTATACATGTTTTATATATACTACATAACTTTCTGGAGTCCTGGTGTGGGATAAGCATTGGACCACACAAGAATGGTTTCAACCGCAAGGTACCAATTCAAACCCACCAAGTGCTCATTGGACACTCTATATAGGACTCTCTATGAGTCAGAGCTAACTTGAGGGCACTTAACAAAAACAACAACAACATAGCTCTACAAATTGATGATAAAATTCATTGTTAAACCAATATGCCTAAAGCACATTTCTTAGTACTTTTAGTGGACCTAGTATATTAATTTGTTTCCTAGACTTCTCAATGTGTGACTTGTTGCTTTCGTGTTCCATTGAGGTGGTTCCAATGCGTAGCAACCCTGTATAGGGCTTTTAAGGACTGACTTGTGGGTTTGAACTGCCAACCCTGTGTTAGCATTCTAGTGCTTGTTTTCCCTCAAATATTAAGTAAGTGTACACTTCACTAAGGTGCATCTGACCCAAGTTGTGGTATTTTCAATAACCTTATATGGATGTGAAAGTTGGAGAGTGAATAAGGAAGGCAGTAGAATTGGTACATTGAGTTATGGTGTTGGAGGAGAGTATTAAAAGTACCATGAGCTACCAAAAGAACAAACAAATCTGTGTTGGAAGAAATACAGCTACCTTTGAAGCCAGGATGGCCAAACTTCATCTTTCATACCGTGACACATAATCAGGAAGGACCAGTCCCTGGAGAATGATATCATGTTTGGTAAAGTGGAAGGTTGGAAAAAAAGAGGAAGAATCTGAACAAGATGGAATGGCATAGTTGCAGCAGCAATGCGCTCAAGCCTAGCAATGATTGTGAGTTTGGCGCAGGACTGGGCTGTGTTTTGTTCTGTTGTACATGGGTTGATATGAGTTGGTACCAACTCGATGGTACATAACAATAGCAACATTTAATTATTACTGAAGAAAAAAAACCCCACAGAAATTGCTTCTGCATTTAGATATTTTTATATTTGATGACAATTTGCTGTATTCCATCTTTTGAACTCATCTGAAATCTTCTTATGCAATGAAATCAATGAATGTTGCCAAAATTGAAAGATTTTTTATTAAAAAATTGTGATTGTGCCCAGTCCCATTAAAGATTAAGAAACTGAAGCACAACAACAAGTGCCTTGTTCATGGCCACACAATGGGGATGGTGATGGTGGTGGTTATGTGCTGTGGAGTCGTTTCCGACTCATCTCAACCATGTATAGGGTTTCCGAGGCTGTAAATCTTTACAAGAGCAGAAAGCCTCACCTCACTTTGGCTGGATGCATAACCACTATACTACCTACTAGAGGTCCTTTCATATAAAAGGTCCTTTTTATATGAAAGGACCTCTGGTAGTGTAGTGGTTACGAATTGGGCTGCTAATCTCTTGGTCAGCAGTTCGTAACTACCAGCTGTTCTGCAGGAGAAAGATGAGGCTTTCTGCTTCCGTATCAGTCTCGGAAACCCTGTACAAATCAAAAGTTTCCCTAATTTCTTCCTTTGCTATTAAATCCTTCAAGACTGGAAGACCATGCTCAGAAACAGAATTTGTATCTGATTTGACCAGTAATAATGCAAAAGGATAGACAGAGCTTTTGGGGCAGTTTGCGAGTTGTGCTATGAATGGAAAAGTCAATGGTTCAGACCCATCAACCACTCCATGGCAGAAAGATGAGGAAGTCTGTTTTAGTAAAGATTTACAACCACAGACATCCTAGGGGACAATTCTACTCCACCTTATAGGGTCTCACTGTTAGTCACAAATGACTCTACATATATTTGTTGTTGTTAAGTGCCATTGGTTCCAACCTATAGCGACCCTGTATAAGATTTCTGAGGAACAGCTTATGAGCTTGAACCTCCAACCTTGCAGTTCATACAGCTTTGCAGTCTGGCGTATTAACCCACAGTGCCACACAAGGACTCCTATACATATATGCATATACATTTATATATATATATACATATATATACGAGTCCTGGTGTGGTGCTGCAGAATAATGTGCTGGACTGCAAGGTCAGTTTGAACCACAAGGTTGGTGGTTCAAACTCACTAGGCACTCCTCAGAATTATGGTTTGCTATGTTGGAACCAACTCAACTACATTTAACAACACACATATACCTATATTTATATAATCTTTCCAAATACGGAATATTTCTGTAAATGTCTGGATGCACTATTTATAAAAATTACCAGCTGTGGTAGAATTTTCATAAATATGTCATTTGAACAGCATTTGATGAAATTTCTGTTTGAACCAGTCATCTTCCCTTATTATAAATGTTCTCCTTACTCAAATGTCTTGAATAAGAAGAGTTCTTATGCCAGAGTTTTTTTGAAAATCTCATTAAAATTCTTTGCATATAGAAAAATGCTAGGGAGTCACTGGTGAGCTATAGGAAGAAAGTTGGCGAAAAATCTCAAATATTTGGAAAAACTGTACTATTTTAAAAAGCACCGTTTAAAAAATGGAAAGACTATTTTTAAAAAGAAAACTCTATGGAAAATTGTCCTTTGTCCTCATCACACTGACATATTCTGTAAAAGGCCTGATTCTTAGTATCAGAATCTTGAGTCATTTTGTAGTGCTGCTAATCACTTTGAAACTTTAAATGCTTTTTGGGAACAGCCAAAGAACCAGAATGACTTCATTTCTGAACTAATGGAGGCAACCTCAGCTCTATTTTCAAATGGATTTTGTTCAGCTTATCACATCTCTGTCTAAATTGCAACGAAATGATAATTGGAGTGAAAATATCTATTTCCCTGTAAAAGTGAAATTGAAATTGCCTACCTTGATTTAAAGCTGTCGGGCGGCATGAGTTCCAAAGTATGAGTTGGTCCATATAGATTTACAACATATAATTTTATTGTTGGGTTCACTTGACCTGCCTTTGAGAAAATGAAAGTAGTAAGGAAAAGACATTAGGCAGTAGAATATATTGAGAAATAAAGCTATTGCATTTTGATTTTTTTACTTTTTAGTGTTTTAGAGGGAGAGAAACAGCTTAATTTGTCTAAAGTTGAAATGATTTTAACTTCAACAACTTGATTGGTTTCTATTGTTTTTGCAAATTGCTGCTTCTTAGGCACTTTAGTCAAAGAAAATTAAAGGTGATAGAAAATCATGATGCCTTTATTCCTTAGACAGCGCTGCTGTGTTCTTTTCCTAGAATGACACCAAAGGCTTACTTTGCAAAATGACTGTAGATTACACAGCTACTCACATTAAAGGATATGAAATGCAATGAACAGAAAACTTGGCTAATTTACAAAAATGAAAGAAAAAGAAAACAGAAAACCGATTCATTCCAGTTGCCATATACTTTAAATTTCGTAACACTTAGTATAATCCATTGCATTTAACACCTGGAAAGAATTCCTTTAAATGTTGATGATTACTGTGGTCGGGGTGCTTATGTGCCCAACTCATAACGATCCTGTACAAGGTTTCTGAGGCTGTAAATCTGTACAGGAGCAGAAAGCCTCATCTTTCTCCCACAGAACTGCTGGTAGTTTTAAACTGCTGACCTTGCGTTTTGCAGCCCGTTTCATAACCACTACGCTACCAGAGCTCCTGTTGATGATTACTAGGTGGGGTTAAATAATTATATAGGTGACCCTTGGAAGATGGGTCTTAAGGCTAGATTGCCCTTACTGAATACTTAGAGTGAAGAATAGAGAGGCAGTGATAAGACCATACAGTTTAAATTTGTTGTAATTGTTAAGAGCCTTTAAGTCAGTTACGACTCATAGCTACCCTGCATACAGTTCCTGAGGAGTAGCTACTGGGTTTGAACTGCTGTCCTGTGGTTCACAGCCTAGTGCTGATCCACAGTGCCACACCAGAAGACCAATTTAAGTTTAATAAAGCAAAATTCGTAACTAAAACTCATAACTAGCACTCACAGGCGTTTTGGTGTGGTGCTATAGGCTAAGCATTGGATTTCTAACCATCAAGTCAGTGGTTCAAATCCACCAGTAGCTCCTTGGAAACCCTATACAGGGTTGCTGTGAGTCAGAACCAACTAGGTGACACTTAATAACAATAACATCAAGCATTATAGCAGTTATTAGGGAATCCTGGTATGGCATTGTAGGTTAAGCACTGGACTGCTAACTACCAGGTTGGTGATACAAATCCACCAGTTGCTATTTGAAAAACTTATACAGGGTTGCTATGAGTCAGAATTGATTCAATGGCACTTAACAGCAACATATGCCAGACACAGTTTTTGCACATGCTGTTGTTGTTGTTAAGCGCCATTAAGTCAGTTCCAACTCATAGACCCAACTCATAGGGTTTCTGAGGAGTGGCTGGTAAGCTTGACCTGCCTATCTTGTGATTCAAACTGACCTTGCAGTCTAGTGCATTACCCCACAGCACCACACCAAGCACATAGTGTTTGTTAAATGCATTATATGAATGATCTCCTTAAATATCCTTCCCACAATCTAAAATGTAAGTATGGACATTTTCCAGGTTAAATGAAGAAGCTAAGCAAATTATGCAATGTGAAATGTCTAGTAACTAAGGAGACATTTCACTGAATTGCTGCAGCTTTGCTTTAATTCAATTCCAGACAACTCCAGACAACGGCCGCCAAAGTTTCTCTAAGTATTCTGTGAGCTCTTAAGGACAGGACTTGGAATTCACACAATATAGCTGAGGAGTTATTTGTTGAATGAATAGGCACGTGAGACCCAGATTTACTGAATAACTTGATTTCTTGTGGGTCAGTGTGCTCCCATATAATTCTCCATTATCATTGTGATATGACTGATGTTTTAACACTGTATCACATATGCAAAAGAGGAGGAGGAAAATAAAAGTAAGGTGAGTTGAAAGACCTTGTTTCAAACAACAACAACAACAACAACAACAACAACAACAACCTACAGAAAACTATGAAACTGATTCAAAAAGGGCAGAGGAAAATCCATCTTTTAAAAATTGTCAATAGCAAAATCCAAAACCAAATTAGAACAGAAACAACTTCATAATTTCAATCAGTCACCAGTGATAACTCCTCAAGGATGGCTTTGTTAGTTTGTCAAGAGCCTAGCACTTCAGTGCTACTTACGTTGCTCTGGAACCTTCAATGTCTATGTACATTAATCTTGGAGAATTTAGCCTTCTATCATATTTACAAAAACTTTCTTTTTTTAATATTTTACTTTATTCTTCTTGTTGTTGAGAATATACACCACATATTAAACAATTTCTCTATGTACAATTTAATGACACTGAATACTTTCTTCAAGTTTTTCAACCACATTCACCCTTATTTTTCAAGCTGCTCCCCCGTTAAGATAAACTCACTGTCCCTAAGTCCCATTTAATTTTTTGAGCTGTTGTTGTCAATTTGATTTTAAACAACAAACCTTAAAGATTACAATGCTCAAGGAAGATATTCTTGAATAGTTATCCTAAGCTATTACTTGGTTTTATGATAATTTCAGGGAATATTTTTGGTTTAAATTTAAAGTATAAAGATTATCTCAGGGCAATGGTTTTAATGGTTTCTCCAGTTTCCAAGGCTCCAAAAAGTCTGGAGTCCATGAAAGTTTGAAATTTTGTTCCATAGTTGATCAGGATTCTTCTTTAACATCTTTGATCAAAATATTCAGAAATGATAGCCAGGTAAAGGTTGTCTGGTCTAATGGCCAAGGAGACAATTGTTCAGGGAGACTAGTAGCCACACATTCCAGATCCTTCTATTGCTGTCTCTCATTCTTTCTTTGTTGTCCCAGGTGAATAGAGACTGAGTGGTATATCTTGGATGACTGTTTGCAAGCTTGTGAGACACCAGACACTAATCATGAACTAGGAGATACAACAGTAAGCACAATACTACTCAGCCAGTAAAATATAAATGATATCTTGATACATACTACAATATGGATAGAACTTGAAGGAATTATATTGAGTAAAAAATAGTAAAAGCACAAATATTGTATGGTCTCACTTATATTTAAAAACAAGAACAGGGCAAAAGGGAGAGGGAAACAAGGGGTTATTGTGAATGGAATACTGAATTTCAGTTTACAGTGATGGAAAACTAGTACTGATTAAGTGTAGGTAGGATTGAACAGGTAATTAATGAAATTACAGTCAGCAAGTTGTACATCAGTAATAAGTTGAATTGACAAAAACTCTATGGTAAATATATTTACAACAACAAAACACACAAAAAGAAAAGCTCTTTCATATCACTCTCTTTTACATTTAATTGCCAATTTTCTCCCTGAAAATGTTGGTTTTATCCATTTCTTTTCAGTCAAACCATGTTTCTTGTTTTATCAGGACTGTTTGGGGTTAAAGCTGTATCACAGCATTTATTGTTGCCATTTGAAGCATGGTTTTGGGACTAACAGTATCAGCATCACCTAAAATCTTCGAAATGCAATTCCATATGTTTACTGAATCAATATCTCTGAGCACAGACTCTAAAATCTGTGCCTTAACAACATTTCCAGGTAATTAGTTGGCAGCATGTGATAAAACACTGGTATATACATACAAACACACACACACCACTTTTTCTATATATATAGCTATGAAAGGGGTTTCAAAAAGTTCCTGGGAAAATGTAATTAAAGTATAATGGAAGTTTTCCAAAAAGTTTGTCAATCCCTCACAGTTGATAGGGAAATAGAGAGAGAGAGAAAGAAAAAGAGACATAAAGGTAGAGAGATGGAAGATAGAAAGGTAGAACATAGATAATACAGATCTAACATAGATATAAAACAAATTTGCCTTTATAGCAAATTGAGTTCCCAGGTGATGCGGCTAATGCTGGGACCCAAATTTTAGAGTCAGTTTAATTTAAACTATGAGCCAGAAAGATTCCTGTTCACATTTTAACTTTGTTAATTACCTAAAATGTGACTCTGGGCAGGTTATTAAAGGTCCTCAAGTATAATTTTCTTTAATATTCAAAGATAACACCAACACTTCTCTAGGAATAGGTCTTGAGCCAAAGAAGGTATCCTTGCTATAGGTGAAAAACTAAATAGAAGATGATTTATATAAGTACCTAGAATTGTATGGAATTCGGGTGTTGCACTTTAAGATAAGCACTAGACTGCAAAGGCAGTTTGAACTGCAAAGTCAGTGGTTCAAACTCACCAGCCACTCCTTGGAAACCCTATATAGGGTCACTATGAGTCGAAACTGACTTGATAGCACTTAACAACAACATAACAGAATTGTATACATTTACAAATTAAAATTGATTCTTAAAAATGATGAGAAATTTGCAGATAGTGGTGAAGGTTGAAAACCATGATGAAGAGTAAAAATTGATGGTGAATTTCAAATATAACTTGTTATTTTTTAGTTAGCAATAAGCTGCATTCATATTTTTATATTTTAATACAATAGTTAATGAAAAGGGGACGTTAAATATACTCTATCTGTGAACATTCAACAATGACGTATAATTTTATTGGAAACTTTGACAAATATATTGCAGTTATTAGCATATTCTTAGGGCATTTTTTTTTTCTTTTTTTTTCTTCTCTTTTCATGGCTTTTACGTGTAAAGGATTGCTTATATCCTAATTACCTTCTGCTGAAACACAAGTTAAAAATTATGTACACATGGGGTTATGTTTCAGATAAAAAGTGAACAGCTCAACCAAGTATCTGGCTGTCTCCAAAATTCAGCTGCTAGGCATTCTATAATTTCATTATCTTAAAAGATAATTTGCTTTTTATATTTCCATGGAGTTTTGAAATTAATGCACATAGCAAGTTCATTTGTACTTTTAATATTTGAATTGTTTCAATAGTTTGCAAATTAGCAGAGTTCATCTATTTGCTTTTTACAGTCACGTTTGCCATGGAGACTGCAAATTCACACAATTCTTTTCTCTATGATTCTGAAACACAGCCCTCAATAATAATTAACCTTATTTTACTGGCAAGTAAATTGTCATTAAACAAGATAATGTTTTAATTAAGAAGATTAACCTGAGGTTACTGAGATAGAACTGTGCATCTCTTTTGTGCTGAGTTGCTAATGATAGGGTATTTTATGAGTTCTGAATCATGCTGAATTAAGTAAAATACAAATACATTTGTATAGTGTATTTCATTAGTAAAGTTAACCACATTGGGTATTTGCTGTACTCATTTTAGTCTAGTTTAATTTGAAGCATAATTTAATATGAACTCTATAAGCTACTTCAATTTTTAAAGTATGACTTTTTGAATGTTATGGCTTAAGTAAGAGTAAGTCAAAATACCCATTTGTTACTAGAAAAGCAATATTATTTTTAAGACAGAGTAGAGAATCATGGGGTTTGATTTTCAAGATAAACACTGGATTGCAAACCACAGGGTCCATGGTTTGAGCTCACCAGCCACTCGATGGAAGAAATATAAGGCTTTCAATTCCTGCAAAGATTTAAGCATTGGAAATCCTACACAGGTTCACTATAAGTGGGAACCAAATCGGCAGCACTTAACATCAACTACAACATACCCAAAATGACACCGAAATTTATTCTGAGGCTCAGAACCATATCGTAAATATACTTTCTTTTACTTCTGCTGTCTTAACTAACTGGGAAGTTTCAGTTCTGACTCATAGTGACCCTGTATAGGGTTTCCAGGACTCCTGGTGTGGAACTAACTATAGGATCAGCACAGGACTGTGAACCATATGATCAGCCATTCAAACCCACCAGCTGCTCATCAGAAACCACTTACAACAACAGCATAGGGTTTCCAAAGAGTGGCTGGTGGGTTTAAACCACCAACCTTGTGGTTAGCAGTCCAGTTCTTATCCTATAGTGCCACACTACATAAACCACTGGAACACTTAGAATTTTTTTCTTAGCTTCAACCTCTATAATATAGTGAGACATTTAATCTTTTTTATTTATACTTTTCAATGGTAGCCATTAACACTTAGGACTTTAATTGTCATATATACCTATATCTAGCAGGTGTGAGGATAAGTGTAGCTAATAATTAGCAATCAATGGAGAAATCAGAGGACCAGAAATATTCATTGACCTGAAAAGGGAATGGTTTGATTTCAGCTACCGCTCTTGAGTCACACATAGACCTTTGGCAGTTGTATAAAGGGGATGAAATCAATAAATTTGAGTTTTCCTGTTCTTAAGTCAGCTTCTGTAAGTTTGCTCATTTGTAAAATAAAAGCAACTGTGCTAATGACAAAACAAGAAAAGTGATTCTGAAACAGAAAGCACACTATATGTGATTTATACAAGTAATACACACTATTATTACTAATATTGTTTCCATGGCTATCTTAACTATCAATTTATAATTAGATGAATCTTAAATTATCAAATAATAATTAAATGATAAAAAAGTATCTTTGGTTGACAGCCTAGCAGTTTTTGAACTACTGTTGACAAATCTTAATTTCCTCAAATTTTTATATTTATTCTTTTGTTTTTCCACAGTCTTCTTAAAATTATTAGGCCTAGGAAGGTCCCAGAAGCCCCCATGTTGCACTACAGGATAAGCACTGAACTGGTAACTGAAAAGTCACCAGTTAAAACCCACCAGCCATGCTCAGAAACTCTATAGAGGGCCACTAGGAGTCAGAACTGATTCCATGGCACAAGAATATTCAAGTTCAAGCATTATGAGGGCATAACTGAGAAAGCACCTTGAAGTTGAGTAAACACATGTGCCTTTTGTGTGTATGTGGCTCACAATATCCTGACTTTTTCAGGAAAATTAATGACTAAAAAGTGGTTACCATTATTGAAGTACGCTGTTTGTGAATATTGTGTGTTGACATGCTTTAATAAACTGCAAATTACCTTTCACAATGTACTACTTGTTCTCCATTTTTTACTTAAATTGTTAGGTAAATTTTCATTATCTAAGTAAATCAAGTGATACACGAATTAATATATTTCATATTTTTTTTTTTCAAATTCTAATTCAATATTTTTTTAGTATTTCTCCAAAAAAAGAAAGTGTGCAGGTATACTATGTAACCAAAATGAAAGAAAGAAATATGCTAAATCTTAAATTTCTTTTGAGTGTAAAACAATCAAACCCCTTTGTGAAATGTTTATTTTGATGAAACATCAAATTGACATTCCCTTCTGAATAGCATTGAGCATATGTGTATTCTAATCTAGTTCCACTGCAGACCCAAAATACAACATTTTAAAACCATGGAATCGTATTCTTCTCTAACCTGCTGCCCTCCTGCAAACCCATTGCTACAGTTTAATACTTGAAGTATGTTGATAACCATAGGAGGGTCTTGGAGGATTTGAAGAAGTCTCTCCCACTACTTAAAACACACAACAACATAATCACAGGGAGCATAAAACATGAATGAGAACTAAGACAGAGAATTGTCAAACATTTATGAATGGACAAACATAAACTGTGAAAATGTACATATAAACCCATGGAGGGAAGACAAGAGTGGGAAAGGAAAGAATGGTGGAAGGAAGGAAAGACCCTTATTTTTGTCAAGGGCCATTTGGATATTTACTATAAATTGATGTTGCTTTGACAAAAGCTTCAGAGTTTATTGAATGTCGAGTCCTGTCTGTGGTTCTTTTTTGAAGGACCAGACCAAATGATTTCGCCAGCCTGGAATGGTGCTGTGCATTAATGCACTAGACTGCAAGGTTGGCTTGGACTGCAAGGTCAGTGGTTCAAACTCAACAGGAGCTCATCAGAAACCCTGTACAGGGTCACAATGGGTCGGAACCAACTTGCAAGCACTTAACAACAAGAACTTATGGCCTGTGAACAGGATGTCCCCTACCACTGATTTAGAATATTTCAGTCTAAAAAAACACTGATCTTGCTTCTGAATCTCTATGTTCAAACCTTTATTTTTGTTCCTTGGGCTATTTGAGTCCTGTGGATGATAAGAGAATAAGGGAATTCTGAATAACTTCACCCTCATACCCCCAATATACCCTTACAGTGACAATTTTGATAGGTAATTTGTCAGGCACTTTATCCAGGTAATATAATTCATACATTGAAAGGTATAAAACTACTTATCATTCTTGGAAAAGACAAAGTACAATTCACTGAGAGAAAGGCTTAAAAATGGCTTCTAAACAAAATCAGTGGCTCTCTCTCATTTAATTAAGAGCTCAACTGTAACATGGAATTGAAAATGTTTTCTACAAGATATTTATATGATTGTTTCCTTGATTAAGACCTTACTAATGAGCTTTTTCTTCTTTTGACATACTGTTGCTGTTATTGTTAGGTGTTGTTTAATCAGTTCTCACTCATGGAAACCTTATGCAAAACAGAAGGAAACACTGCTGAGTCCTGTCCCTTCCTTGAAATGTTTCTGTTTGAGCCCATTGTTGTTCTCACTGTGTGAGTCCATCTCGTCCAATATAGCACTGGGGACTGCCCCAGGACCACTTCTACCTCTGACCCTGATTCCACTCCTGGGATCCCTTCTAGGGAGAATGTGACCTAATGTATGACAAATGTATTGAGCTACATTGTTATATACACATGGGTATACACATGGCCAAAGTAAAGAAAAACAGGGGTCCCTTAAGTAATTAAAGATGACATGAAACTGAAAAATACTCCATGTATTTTTTTTATAACCTCCTACTAGTGAACCAAAATACTTGAAAATATTTTCCTGTCTGATTTATGTTCTCCTCACCTAATAAATTAATTCCATTTAGTTTAGCTACTCCTGGCTACAATTGTACCCCAGCATTTTATAACATATGTTCTATAGTGTGATCTGCCAAAATAATGCTAATACTAGTATATTCTTTATACTTACTACATTCATTTATTTACCTTTATGATTAGTGTATTGCATATTAGAAATCCTTTATTAGAAATTTACAATACACAAATAACATATAATATATTATATATACTAAGATATCAATTGAATAAAGCTAGATTTTTTTTTTTTTTTTAACAAAGAACTTACAGCTGATTGGATTGTGGCATTTCTTCCTCCTTTACAACTTTACAACTAGTAACAACTCACAGCTATACCTTGCGGGGGGTGGGGGGGAATGCTTTGGCATCTGGGCTATTCCTTATATTTTAAACTCGGAGAGTTGCGTAAGACAAGAAAGAGTTGAAGCAGTCAAGGAAAAGCAATGCTGCACAAATGAAAATTCTCCCACTTGAAATCATCTCCTCTTACCCAAGCACCATATACAGACGTGCAAGCTACAAAATGACGAGTTGGTTGACAAGTAAAGCTTCTTTTTCTTTTTTTCTACAAAGACAACTTTTCATGGACCAATAATACTATCAACCAAGTGACTGTTTCAGAGACAGGGAAAAAACAAACAGTTTGACATTACTTACCTTGGGGTATGGATACTGCTTTCCTTTGGGATACAATGCTCCAGTAAACCGAGGGATAACCATGTTAGGCACCAAGGAGTCATTTATCATCAGGAAGGCAAGCCTTTCTCCATCTGGTGACCACCAGTGAGCGATGTGAGAATGCAGAAGCTCTTCTAGAATAAATGAGTGTTATTTGAAACTAACTATAGTGATGCGGGCTCAGTTACCCATTAACATCTCTCTCAGAAATCACCATGGCATGTTGTGCACATATATTGTCTAGCCAATGGTGGAGCTTATAAATTTGATTAAGGATTCTCTATTTCCTATTTGCCTTCTTATAGTCTCTAGAATATAAATGCAGAGAGAAGAAGGAATGAATCAATGAAGTTAGAATTTTAGGAATTGTCAGTAATGTGAACAGACCAGCTGAAATCACTGTTGGAGTAAAAGGAATGAGAAGAATGAAGGAACAATATTCATTATATTTGCACTCAATAAAATTTGCATCCCTTCATCATCAAACACGTTGATGACCCACTGGATTCATTAAACTATATTGAGGTCTTAGGAAATTGAATCAAAAATACCCTGGATAACTTGCATGTGACCCATGATCCAGTTTTCTACACCTGCTTCATGGCTCAGTGAGTTAACCTGTATGAACGACATCAACAGGACCCCCGTGCCCTTTGGCTGCAAGTTACATTTGATCATTATGGTGATTTGGCAAGAGAATAGAGAGAAGAGAATAAATTCAGGCTATTTAGTCTCTTGGCTTCTTTCTTCAAAGTCAACGTAGGCTTGCTGTGTGATTTGAATGATGTAACACTCAGGCCAGTGTAGCCTGAGCTACATAATTTTCACTTACTGTGTCTGGCAATGCCTCATCTCTACCAGTGAATGAGTGGAAATAGCATAACTACTACTGCTAGATTACAACATTTTCCCTTGAGATTTCCCTCTACCTTTGTAAGTGGTCTCTTTGTAAATAAATCTTCCCTTGAATTATCCTAGTCAGAAGATGTCCTTTTCTTTTCTTTTTGCTTGGGACTTTGAATGATATACTAATTAATAACTGCAGTAGAGTCAGAAAGATACCCCAAATATTAAATTCTGGTATTGTGTTGACCATACATATGAAGAATTTTATAACAATCAACTTTTCATGAATGAATTTAGACCTTGATAATCCACAATAGGGACTCCTTGTATGGCACTGTAGGATCAGAACTGGACTTCAAACTACATTATTGGCAGTTCAAACCTACCAGCAGTATCTCGGAAGCCCTACGCAGGGTTGCTATGAGTCAGAAATGAGTCAACAGCACTTAACAACAACAACAATCCACAACAATGGAGCACAATGGCTCTGTAGGATGAACACTGGACTGTGAACCACAAAGTCAGCAGTTGGCATCCACCAGCAACTTCTTGGAAGAAAGATGAGATTTACTGCCTCAGAAACCCTATATAGGGTCTCAGTGAGTCAGAACCCACTCAAGAGCATTGAATACAAAAACAACAATCCATAACAGGGTTGTTATTGTCAATCAAAATTCACTGGTGTAACGTGGAAGGAAATGCAGGTAGTGAGGAAAGGCATTAGTAGTATAAGTAGATGTGGCGCTAATTTGTCATTTTTGAAAAATGCTAATTTATAAAGATTACTGGAGCCCTGGTGTGGCATTGTGGGTTAATGCGCCAGACTGAAAAGACGGGTTGAATTGTAACATCAGTGCTTCAAGTTCACCAACTGCTCCTCGGAAACTCTACACAGGGTCGCTATGGGTCAGAACTGACTCAACGGCACGTAACAACAACAAAGATCATTAAGTCCACATGGTTCTTTTTACAGTCCAGAGAAAGGTTGAAAAGCTGGAACATAAATTGCAGACTCAACTCCATTTGGTTTTCTAAAGGTAAAGATGTTGGTGAAGAATTGAGACTTAGATACACAGGAGAGGGGTATGTAGGTAAACATATGCTTTCTGAAAGCTTGCTGATATTGTTGTTGTTATGTGCTATAGAGTTGGATTCAACTCACAGTGACCCTTTATAGGGTTTATAAGGACAGGTGGTGGGTTTAAACTGCTGACTTCATGATTCTCAGCCCAGTGCTGATCCTACAGTGCCATAGCAGGTTGATGCTGATGCTGTGTTGTTAAATGACGTCAAGTTGGTTCCAACCCATAGCAACCCTGTATAGGGTTTCTGAGGAGCAGCTGGTGAGCTTCAATTGCTAAGCTATGGTTCAAATGAACTTTGCAGTCCAGCACATTAACCCACAACTCAATGTTGATGTTGTTGTTGGTGGTGATTATGTGCTATGGAGTTGACTCATAGCAACCTTGCATAGGGTTCCCAGGGCTGTAAATATAGGAACAGAAAGCCTCATCTTTCTCCCATTGAATGGCTGGTAGTTTCAAACTGCTGACCTTGAGGTTAGCAGTCCAACTTACAACAAATATGCTACCAGAGCTCCTATGCTATCAATATTTAGTCTCAAAATATCCAATAGGAAATATAGTTACAAATATTTTCCTTTGAATTGCACTAAATTTTCCTCCTGGTCATTTTGGGTTCAGTTTAATGTCATAATGTGCCAGACTGCAAAGTCGTTTGAACTGCAAGGTCGATGGTTCAAGCTCACCAGCTGCTCCTTGGAAACCCTATACAGGGTTGCTATGGGTCAGAATCAACTCGACGGCACTCAACAACACCAGCAACATAATGTTGTTTAAAACAACAAACTAAATATTGGTAGCATAGGAGCTCTGTGGCACTGTAGGATTAGCGCTGGACTGCAATGCACAAGGTTGGCAGTTTAAATCCACCAGCTGCTCTTTGGAAACTTAAAAAGGGTTGCTATGAGTTGGGAACTGACTTGAAGGCACTTAACAATAAGAACAAGAACATACTTCTAGGAAAGAAAGCCTGGTAGTATAGCGGGGTAAATGTTGAGTCACTGACCACTAGGTTAGTATTTCAAGCCCACCAGTTGCTCCACAGGAGAAAGATGAGGCTGTCTACTACTGCAAAGATTTACACTCTTAGACACCCTATACTGTAATTTTACTCAGTCCTTTAGGGTCACTGTAAATCAGAATCCACTTGATGACAATGAGTTCGGTTTTGCATTTTGGATGTTTCTAGAGGAAAAGAATGAGTGCCCGTGTGGGCTTTAGGGTAAGCACTGGATTGCTAAACACAAAGTCGGCAGTTCAAACATACCAGTCATTCCTGGGAAACCCTATGCAGGGTTGCTCTGAGTCAGAACTGACTGCACAGCACTTAACACACAACACAGACAGGAAAAAAAAAAAGCTGCCTGAAAAGTTTGTCCTTGTGTTGCTTCTGATGCCAGATTGTATCTGCCCAAGGACACACAGGGTGTGTCTTAGTTATACAAGGAGGATCAAGGAGAATACATTTGGAATTCAAAAGATTTGCAAATATTCCTTTGCCCAACAGTATTGGTCAATGGAAAACTGAATGCATAGCAACTTAATAAAAACAAGAAAACAAAGGAGTACATTTTGTC